GAACACTTTTTGAACACAGTGAGATATTTATGTTGGCCGATGACGTCAAATACGGTGTGTGACGTAGTTGTGATATTACGAATTCAAGTTTGTCTTTAATCTGTGTTTGATGAATGACATCCCACACGCCTCCGTGTGGCTTTAATCAGAATAAAGACAAGTGCAATATCTTTTTTAACTGCTACGCCTTGCCTGCCAGGCAGGTTAAAATGTCTTGCAAATTAGTCATGAAAAATAATTGGAAAAAAGCAATGCTGGAAGATCATGAGGTACGGATCCTCTTTTAATTGAAGCCCCGCTAAGTTTGATCAACCATAGTGTTCCAGTAAAAGGAGCGTTGTACCAAATAAGAGTCAAAATGATGTGACGTACGAGCATTCATATTTGCATTACAGATTTATTTCTATTGAATTTATGACAAAGTTCTCTTTGGCTGAGCAAAATGCACTATTCACTGTGTTTGCAAATATGACTGTGTCTTTATGTCTGTTCTACCAGCTGTGCAAGCTGACACCTGTGATGCTGCTACTTAGCAGAGAGGCAGCAATGATCAAATTGATTACTGTTATTAGTCGCACAAAATGACATCTATTGGCATTGTATTTGCTCCAAACTGGATTATTTTAGGGAGTATCCAGAATAACATTTTGACATGCCAAACCCAAATGTGCATTTATAGGGTCTAAAAGCATTTTTTTTTTCAAAGCCAGACAAAAATGGAAGCTAAAGATTTTCTTTCAGCATGTAACAAGATCAAATCTATAATAGCCAGTGCAATGCGACACTGATTTCAGCACATGATGGAATGATGGAAACCACAATCTGAATCAAGCTGCAGAATGAGTAGGCTTAGGGGAAGCTTATTATCGCAGCATCTCTTAGCCACAGGCGATTCTGACTTTAAGCTGTCAGATGAAAGATTTTGCCTAAATTACATAAGGAAAAAAATTGCTTCTGTAGGGACAGCTTCCATTCTTTGCAGTCTAATAGCAGAGATGATGCTGCTGTAATGACACAGAC